TGTATCAGCTGCACACACCGGTACCGGGAGCGGCAATGAGGGGCCCAGGATTCGGTCCCGACACTCAACCCCACCAAGCCCTGAGGACGATCTGCTTCTAATGTTTCCATTATTCCCAGAAGGAGCTGCCAGAGCAGGCCTAGACAGGGCTGTGATGTTCAGCAGTTTTACTGCCCAGGCTGCACAGTAGCTGTTTTTAACGTACGGCTTGTAAGCTGAATGTTCAAGTTTAAGGGGAAAAAAACTTGTGTGAGAACCGTCAGCCTCCAAGTTCCTGGGGAGCGGTCCCCTCTGCAGCCCGCCTGGACCAGCGAGCAGTCCTGTCCACCTGCCCTGGACCTGTGGTCCTGAAATCCCTTCCCACCCAGAGCAGTGGCCGCAAGATGACCTACTTCCCATCAGGCAGCCAGGCAGCTGTTAGGTACTGCAACATGTTTCTATGCAGGCAATAAGCTTTTCTTAAAAATAAAGAAAAAGTAGCAGAATACAGATTCCCAGTGACGAATGGAAAGAGCGATGGGAAGAGGCGTGCAGGCACATGTCCCAGACCGTGAAATATTTCAGGTCTTTGTTTTCCAACCACAGTTCCTTACTCTCTGCTTATGTTCATCTGTCCCTTTGAGGCAGGAGGAGGAGAGATTTTCTTCCTACAAACTTTAGTATGTGGAGGAGTAGCATAAAGATAGACGCAGTCCGCTTTCTCCTGTTTGCTGAATCTTCTCTGTTCATTCCACACGAGATGTGGCAACATCCATCACAAATTGCCGGGAGAAAAGCAATTTCAACAGTACATTTTTTTCTCTAAGTAAATCTTAAAACGAATCTCTACAGATTGTTTTAGGGATTTTTTTAATGGAATTATGCCGTGTATACCATTTTGGTCTGTTCCTTTTGCTCCAGTTAAGTTTTGAGGATGTACTCATACTTTGAGTACGGGTATAGCTATTTATTTTCATTGCTGTGCAGTATTCGACTGTAAAAATCTGCCACAATTCATATCTCTGTTCTGTTCACAGTTACGTTGTTTCCAGGTTTAGGTCATGACGTCTTGTTCTGTACCCGGGGCACACATGCAAGTGTTTCTCTGGGGTGGATCATTGCAAGCAGAACTGGTGCTCATGGGGGTGCACTTTTTAACTTTATTAGGTAAAAGAAAGAGGTTATATCTACTGACACTCCCACCAGTAGTGTATGAGAGTCTTCACTGTTTCACATCTTGGCCAAAACACACTATTTTGAGACCTTGCCTGAATTATTTGAATTCAGGGATTTCTTTTTTAATTTAATAGTTTTGAGCAGCCTCCCCTGGTTCCAGGACCTGATGAAGACATGACTGTTAGATCCTAGGTCCTCCCTTTCCAGTTTTACAATTGAGGAAACTGAGGCCCGTAGAAGTGAGCTGGTCTACGCTGGATCATATGAGGAATCACCCAGCTTTACCAGAAGGGACCAGCACCCGGTGCCCTGACTCCCAGTCAGGGTCACACCCAGGCCTCCCCCTCTTGCTTTCACATTGCTTCTTTTGTTGGGAAAGTCCAAAATCGTCCTAAAATAAGACCAAACTGAAGAGAATCTGGAGTTATGTTTTAACAAAACTCAAGCGGGGAAATTAATATTTAGAGTCTTAAAAAAAAAAAAAATTACTGCTATTGCTGTTTTCTGAATCAGATTCTTCTTTATTGCAAAGAGGACCGGGAAGGGGTGTGGAGGCTCCTTCTGAGAACGGCTGGGCGCACTAGGGATTGCTTTCCTCTGCACCAAGGGAAATCCCAGAAGTCTTTAGAGCCTAGAGTGTTGGGGCTTCATTTTCAGCCTGTCGTCAGATCAGTAAGATGTTCACACACAGCAGGAGAATCCCCGTGTCCGTGTGATTAGACCATCAGGATGGGGGACTCGGGCTGTGCTGCCACCGTGAGGACCACTGACCGGGCGTTTCCCAGCTGCACCTGTGCGGAGCATCGCGGCAGTTCACTCAGGGGCGACTTTTCTGTTTCCTTCTAACGCTTTCTTGTTTTCGTTTTTCAACCTGGACATCACGTTAATGTAATTTGAGGGACAATGGCTTTGCGATTTCCCAAGGTTTGAGGAGTCTCGGAGTCTCACATTATGGCTGTGTTCCTAAATGAATAGAGAGGAAAATTATATATATAATAGGTGCAGTGGTGTATGTCATACACTCCTGGAAATGGTCACCAAGGGGGTATGTGCCCAGTGCCGGGTCCTTCGCCCGCAGTCATATGTTCAGCAGAAACACACTGAGCTTCCGTGTGTCCCCGAGGATGACTGGTACCTGGTGCCAAGCAGTGAACTTTCAGAAGCGGGTGGTTCCAGATGATCCCTAAGAATCTGACCTGAACAGCTGGGTGCATGGAAGTGCCCTTTAGCAGGAGGAGCAGGTTTGGGGGAAAGGACCGAGCAGTCAGTGGGAGGACTTGCCAACAGCCTTGCACCCCCAGCTCTCCAGGGTCAGCAGGTCGTTGGGACATTGGGCTCAGAAGGAAGCTGGCTCTCGGAAAGTGACCATGAGAGCTTCAGCCTGGGTCATACTGAGCACAGTGGGGTGGCTGGGGTGTCAGAGAAGAAAGCAGACGGCCGGGCCTGGGAAGCAGGGCCCACGGCGAGGTCAGCCTCCCCTCGGCGTCCAGTCTGCCCGGGCCTCTGGAGTCCTCACCTGGAGTCTGGAGTCCAGGCTATCCAGCAGCCAGAGGAGACCCGCCTCGGTCAGCAAGCGTAGCCTCAGGGGCTGTCAACTTCTCTGAGCAGCCTTCCTTAGCTCCTGTTAACCTCGCGGTCAATCCAGTCCTCAGCTGTCTCAAAACAATTCCTGCT